TTAAACAGTTCTATGTTTAAACGCTTGTAACTTCATAAGGAAATGTCCGATTTGAATGATTTTTTTTACCATTTTATAGCTATTATTTTACTCTCTAGCACTGTATTAATAACTCAAAATCGATTTTTGCGACGAGTGACTGGTTTGGCTTGTCTTTGCCACAATTGCTCAGACAACGTACATGGCTTAAAATAGGGGAAAGATTTACAAAAATGTTAGGTGTGTGTATAATAAAGCAAAATCCTTAAATTTTGATCCTAATAAGACATGGGCATTATTCTAATAGGAATTATAAAGATAGTTAATTCAGGTTGATTAAATTCTTTTCGAGAATGCATTAGTCGTTTTTTTTCCCCGTTTTTTTTTTTTTTTTGTGCTCTTTCCGTTTTAAATTTGCTATTTTGATATTAATGCAATAAAATGGATGAAGAAGCGATTTGGAAAATCGGCATTTAGTAGCGTTAATTTCAATAAAATGAAGAAGCAAGCTACCATCGATGGCAGGGACGTAGCCAGGATTTTGAAAGGGGGGTGGGGAGCCGTTATGCGAATTACGTATGACCCCCGGCGGGGTCAAGGGGGGGGAATCCCCCTGTGAAGTAGCGCACTCTGAACGTTCTTAGGACTGTTTGAGAGGATAAAGTGAAAATTGCAATCGACGCATTATAAATAAACGAAATAATAATTATACACTAGTATAATAAATCAACAGTGGCAGATCCAGGAATTCGAAAGAGAGGTGAACCAGGGAGGGACTTTCACAGACCGAGGAACCACCCACCTCAGCCCCACCATGGTTGGGGCTGAGGCAAGAAAATTTATGATTAGGGCATCTCTAGGTGGCCGGAAATTACACTCTCGCACTTCAATTTGAAAATATTTTTCCTTTTTTTTCCTTAAAAAAATGAAGAGGGGTGCCTTGAATCCACCTCTGCTCAAAACATTCTTTATCCAGAACAGTCATAATCACGAAAAATGGACATGAAAAACCAGATCACATCCTAAAAACAAACAGCAGTCACTAAGACATACATCAGGAGCCAACTCGATGGAGTTTAATGTCATACCCAGGGAAGGGCACAGATCTGTTTTGAAAGGTGGAGGGTATTTTGTAAGTCGACACCCACCCCAGCCCCATGCACAATGGTTGGAGCTGAGGTGAGAAAATTTGAGGAAATAGTACCTCTAGATGGCCAGAAATGACACTTTTAGTAAAATTCATCATCATCACATCACCATTAGTCAAAATGAAGCGCCAAAAGAAATTCTCATGATCTTTTATCAGGGATTTTTGACAACCATAGAGATCTTATTAATGTGTGTGTGTATACACCATAGAAAACAAAGCTTAAAAACATTGTCTTTGAGTATGTACTTTACATAGGCCTACTTCAAAAACGTGATTTCACAACCACCTCAGCCCCACCATGGCTGGGGCTGAGGTGAGAAAATTTGAGGAAACAGATAGTTTTGAGGTACTAGAAGAGCTACCGACTGAGGACATTGAGAGTGGCTGGACACAATTTAAACAGGCTTTTACAGAGACAAGCAGTTTGGTCCTAGGGCAAAAGAAAAAAGCATGGAAAACATGGATGACACCAAAATCATGGAATCTTATTGAAGAGAGAAAGAACTGTCTCTTATACACATCTAGATGTGTATAAGAGACAGATTATCAATTATTACTATCGTCATTATCATCATTGTTATTATTATTATTATTATTAAACAAACATTTAAAGAAACTTGCAAAAGAATAAAAACGAAATTGAACCACAGTATCGCATTTCTATCTTAAAAGACCTGGCCTAAAATTTATGGATTTAAGATTTTTTTAAAATCACGCTTAGGCTCATGTGTTTTATTAGGCCTATGTATAACGTGTACTGATGCATATTTACATGTTTAGAAGTATTCATTTTAAGTGATCCCAGGAAAGAATTTTTATTGGCTCAAGAATAAGCTTTAACATTTTAACACTGTGTACAAAGGGG